AGCTAACATAAGCAGGAAACTAAAATGATGATTCTACTTTTACAACAATTCGTCGCGCATAATCTACTCGATCATTCAAGCAAGCAATCAAATCATTTTAAACAGCAATCGAGCACCAATTATATGATTCAGTTGTCACGTAAGCGCAAACGATCTCGAGATGCTAACCATACGCCAACATCATCAAAGAAACAAATATATAATGAAATTGACAATTCGATGGGAATCAGTTTTGAAAATGCATTAGGTATGTGTAATTAGGGATTATAAAAACACTAACGTCGAATAAAATTTAATATAATCGTTGTCAACTAATCATCATACTACGGTCATAGATGGTTCATTCAATCGAAAGTCAGAGTTTCAACCAAACCAGGCTGCGCGCAACGAAATCAATTTACTACTTAACGCATGCACAACATCCAAAAAACACCATACAAAAATGTATTCCGATACTGAATCATTTGCACCACAACAAGTTCGATCGTTGCATGAATTATGTATACATTCGTTACAAAAAAATATTGGAAAATTTAAATATATAAACGGAGTTTCATTTGTAATATTGAAACCCATTCTCGAACGAGCAAAGCCCGAACAATTGAGCTTATTCGAACATTACCTCACATACCGCGCATACCCACTGCCACCCGATGAATATACATTATATTAAATACAAATTTAGCGGATGATCACCCCGAGGAGAATATACTGTATAAACAGAGTACACATAGTACGTAGCTCTACGTGTGTATGGTACACAAAGAGCGCGCACACATTTAGAGGCTCTGTATACGCTTATGTTTGTGCGCGCGCATTCACGTTCACACAAACAACAGCTAGCGATGCGCGCACACAAGCATAAGCGTATACAGAACCTCTAAATGTGTGCGCGCTCTTTGTGTAGCTCACGTAGCGCTACGTACTATGTGTACTCTATTTATACAGTAGATTCTCCTCCGAGTGATCATCCGCTAAATTTGTATTATATGTAATGTATATTCATCGGGTGGCAGCGGGTATGCGCGGTACGTGCACAATCCATTTCTAATGGATGATTCCGATTGTCTGTGGAAACAGCATTGCCAACGAAAGTTCAAGGCACATAAACGATTACACTGTGCAACAAAATTTGGTCAACTCCCGGAATGAGCAAACGGCCGTTATAGGATGAAAGTAGATGTCAAATCTAGCAAAACCTTATCAACCAAGACCAAGTTCAGATGTACTTTCATCCGCCGGATTCTCTAATTTAGCAGGTGACTTCTCTCCAGATATGGCCTCATTGTGGCAGCCACCAACAACAACGGCAACGACGTCTAAGCAACCAGAGCCTTTAACGAAAGAAGAGCTTGACACAATTGTCTCAAATTTGGTTCTGCCCAAGAACAAATCGGAAGAGCTCGCATCATTTTTTAGACGCAAAAATTTATTGGCACCAGGCGTCAATATCACCAGCTTTAGAACTCGTGATGATGAGTTAAACGCTGCAAAAAAATTCGTATATTGTCCCAATAATATTGGGCCAATATTGTAGTTTTGATGGAAAAAATTGGAATTCAATATACTCCAAATGAATGGAGATTATTTATCGATAGTTCGAAAAATAGCCTCAAGGTGTTATTACTACATCAAACTAACAAATTGACAAACGTTCCAATCGCATATAGTTCCGTTACAAAAGAAGATTATAAAGGAATGAAACATATTTTGAAAATAATTGAATATAATGAACACCAATGGCGCATATGTTGTCATTTAAAAGTTGTAGCAATGCTAAATGGTCTTAAAGGTGGCTACTGTAAGCACATGTGCTTCTTATGCGATTGGGATACGAGGTACGATGGCAATCAGTACGATAGGAAAAATGCGATATGGAATGCCAGATCAATAATGCATAAGATTGGAATTCTGACCCAAGACAACATTCCTTTGGTACCAAAAGATAAGATTTTGTTACCATATTTACACATCAAACTGGGCATTGTGAAAAACTTTATGAAGGCCGTTGTCCATAGATGAACATTAGGGTAGCCCAAATGCCAAATAATTTAAAATTTGCAGCTCCCTACCGCTGATCCGAAAATTTGGGCCGAAAAAATAAATTTAAGCCATTTTCCGACATACTTTTACCAATCAAATCCACTCCCCCGAGAGCTTTGTAGTTTGTAGGGGAATAAAATCAATACATTGAAGAATATTCAAAAAAATTGGTACTATATCGCAATTATACTGGACAACAGATGACTCGATCTTACTGCTGGCGTCCAGTACTACAATTTTGGTCAATATTACAATGCTCTAAAGTGCAAGACTGAGCTGTTAGGGGTGAATATATTGCCAAAGTCGACCGAAATTTCACATTTTTGCTACAATAACGTCATAAAACCTCAAAATCACTACTTACAACACAGTTTTTGAGCCTATATCGACTCAATTTTTTCCGTACAATCCAAATATGACCATTGCCGGCCAGTCTGAACCCATTTTGGTGCCAATAATTTCGTCGGTTTACACTTTTGATAGAAATTTTGCTAAGTAGCGCTCTCACATCGGATTTTCAACAAAAACATCAATGGCCAAAACATCAAATCGATGGAAAATGATGAGAATCTTTGATTTGAACCTTCATACAGTGATTTTACACGTGTCAAAATGTAAAAATACTGAACCA